AGACGTAGAGGCGTGGCTCCGATTCCATAACGGGTAATAACCCGATACAGATCGCGTGATGCTCATGGTACACCACGTGGCCACCTGAAAGAATTTGTTGATTGCTTGCTTCATTGATTTGAATTTTTCTCATTATCCCAACTTAGAATAGCATCTTCATAACTTCTCATCGAATTTTCGATAGGTAATTGATTATTGTTGTGAAGAACAGGGGAACTGCTGATCCACGCGAAAAGCGGCGGTTAATTCCATTTCGTCCTTACTTTGTAATTCAATCTGCACTTGAACTTGTGAAAAAGAATGTTCTGGACACTTCTAAAAAATAGGACGAGTTTGGGTGTGTACCATTATTCAAGTCCTCAAGGAGGCGAGTAATTATAGGGAGATGGTATGGCCAGAAGCTCCAAATCTTCTAGATGATCCCAATGTGAAATCTCTAGCCACAAAGTACTCCAAAACTCCGGCCCAGGTACGCTCTTCCTGGGCGTTTCTTCCAAGGGATACCACCACTCATACGAACTCAATTCAGGTTTTGCTACGTTACGTGATGGAGCGAAACATTGCAATTATACCCAAATCTGTGAATCCGTCTCGAATTGTGGAGAATTTCCAGGTTTTTCAGTCTTTGCATGTTTCATTATGTTTTCGCATTCAAACATCTCAGATTTCTAGGTGTTTGATTTTGCTCTAACTGCAGAAGAGATGAAGTTACTGGAATCCGCGAAACATCGTCAAAGACTTTTTTGGCATGATTTGTGAGTATTTCATATGGAATCTTATCATTAGAGAAATTCCCACGGTCGAGTAAGATGTATAGATTATTCCCTTGTGTAGGATAGTATTGTCCACGGAAGTATTGTCCGAGCCGTTTCCGTGGCACCAGAGTGCACCATGGGCCATAGGTCCTTCTTGCGCTGGATGCTGCTGCGGTACGCGACAAATCAGTCTATCAGATCAGATGTCTGCGTCTTGCACATCCTCTACATTCTCTCACCTGCACGCACCCAGCAACTCTTCACCGTTATTTTTACTCACTTCGTTCACATAGCACTTCTACTTTCATTTTCAGTTAAAGGACGAATTCACGATTAGAATGAAGGTCGAAGAAGGAGTAATTCACCTAGTTGAGGGACCCGCGGACCTCCGTGCGGACTGAAGCGCAATTGGCACCGAAGGAGTTGACCTCGGCGACCTATTAAGGCTCAATCTTGGCGCGGTGGGCCAGTGCACGCCCACCGATCATCTGATCACTCGCCGCAGGTCTATACGTGGCGAGTGATTAGATAGGTGAGAGAGCGTAGTGTTGAAGAGGGCACAGCGATGAGAGTCGCATCAATGCTCAAATCAACGGGCAAGGAAGGGGTCCCATTTCTCGGGTTCTGGGCCGTTTCTCATGGTTCTTCCTTCTTTCGTGTACCACTCACCATCCCTAGGTTAATTTGAAATGGGTTGCCTTTCAGCGTGAATTCGTCCTTTAAATTACCCACATCTTGTGATTGTGGAATGAGCTTTCAAAGGCAGTGATTACAATGCTGCAGGGCGGTGCGATTTTGATGTCGTCATTGAATGTCAAGCGTGGACAGGCGTCAAGGGACGGTTCCAAATACAGGCCCGCTCAGGGGTCTGGTCTACCACGACGTTCAATGACGTCACAAAATCGTACCGTCATGAGACCACTGCTCTTAAGACCGGAGTTTACGATGGAAACGATGGCCCATCGGAAATCAAGGTAATGGTGGTCAGTGATGCAGGGATAAAGAGAAATCAAAGAAAAGGGCCTAGCACCCAATTTAAGAGACCCCTCTTTGCGCTTTGGTTGGCCGTTAGGTATCCCTCGGTAATGGTCTAATCAGCGCTAACGCTCTCTCTGCTGAACAGCCAGAGTCAGACAACGAGAGTGTGGGCGGGCAGCGGCGCTAGCAGCGCGGCGGCCATCTACATTGCCAGGGCATATCTTTCGCTGCAATGCGTGTCAGGCCGCATCCCTATAGGTCCGCCTGTCTTTCCACTCGTTAGGTTTCCCTTCTTCGACCTCCGACCTTATCGTGGAATCTAATTCAAGCTATGACATAGATGTTCCTCACAGTATGCACTCCATTAAATGCGACCATGGAAATTTCAAGTGCTACGCAGAATCGTAACTAAAGCGGAAAGCTGAAAGCTGAAAATTAATTTCAGCATGGAAGGTCATCCGGAAGATCCTTTCAAAGCAGATAGGAAACACTGAATGTCGTTCAAGGCTATAATGTTGATATCACCTGGAAATGATCACTGTACCATTCGATTAAATTCATATATGATGCTTCAGTCATTTTTGCATGATTAGTATTTCTTTTCAGATGTTGAATGAATAAACCAATTCTCTTCGCATTTTCCTGACTCGACAGCGAAAAACGTCCGCGAGACGAACTGAGTCAGAAACAGTAGTCAACAACACAAACAAGTCAAAATCATTCGCTAAAGCTTTCATCCTTGTGGCGCACTGCCTGTCGGCTAATCGGCTACACGTTATGGAGCGTTCATAGTTAGCGATCGTACGTGCGATTAGGCGATTAGGCGATGATTCAAAAAAGTATACGTATCGATAAGATGATTTGCGAGTCAAGCAGAAGGCAAATCTACACGATTTCAGGCATAGGAGACGTCGGCCGTGAGAGAAGGTAGTATGATTGTTGTCCCCCCATCGGGCGATCGCCTATCGCCTAATCGCCTACTCGCCTACAACGTTCAATGGGCGGAGCAAACCAATCAATACGTACGTGTTGTCTTCCCCGCCTAATCGCCTACTCGCCTGATCGCCTACTCGCCTCACTCGCCTAATCGCCTAATCTATACGTACATTTTTCATTGTAAACTAATCGCCCAATCGTACGTACGATCGCCAACTCTAAACACTCCATTATACGGATGAGTGCTATTAAGTTTACCCGTACATGAGAGGTGATTAGTCAATAAAGCCCCGGTAGCGTAACTCAGCGTACTTTGTCGTGAGCGGTACAGTCGGATTCGAAAGTTGGGTATTGTCGTGTCAGCGAAGTGACGTGACTTGATGCTAGAAGTGCCTAGATAAGTCGTTTCCCCTGATGCTTTGCTGATATCCACGATGATTTTGGAAACAGGGTCAAGCGTGCGTTGAGGAATCCTCGACACGTCGCAGGGGGGGGGTCGTATTGGCCCGCTGGGTGGAAGAGATCGAGCCATTTTGATGCAGTGGGATCATCACCGTCGGAAGACAAATATCAAGGATGAGTCGATGCCAGGCCAGAGGATTTCCAATGAAAATGATATTTCACCCACACAAAATTTTCGTAATTCTGAGGCGTCCGGATAATTCTTAGTTACTTCAGTGTTTTATCACCACACAAGTTAAAGAATCTGAATTTCGTACGCTTTCCAAGAGATATTTCATCTTTCAAGTAAGACCCCGAATCGGAAGGGATGTGAGGTACATGGCATATCGAGAAAGGTCCGCGATCTAGAAGACCAATGGTTGATTTGTCAGTCAAAGAAGAATGATCTTCTATCTGATCACACGATCGCGCGCCAAAAGGCGCTATAAAAGAGGCTGAGAGGGGAACCAAGGCCCAGTCTTCCTCGAGCTCTTCCAGACAACTTTTGCGACTAAGCGATTTGCAACATTGCGATTCTATTTGCGATTGCCCTCTCTGGCGGAGCCCTCATCCTCATTGCACTTGTTCTCTAGCGATTCTCTTCGAAGTATTCTTATTTGCGAAGTTTTCTCATCACGGTTATTCCATTACGTGTTCTAATACTCAGTTGCTAACACTCACCGGTTTATTGTTATTGTTACTCATCTATTGTTATTGGTCTCTGTCCATTGGACCTTTACTGATCTCGTGAAGATTTCGTTCTACTCGTTGTTATTGTTGTTAATTTCATTACATAAAGTTTAATTACCCAAGTTTGAGGCTTCTCAAAAACGCCCGCGTGGCACAAGTACACAATACAAGGCATTCTACCACAAGCCAACCTTTACATGGTGCATCGGCCAACTCTTCTCATCGCACATCCGGGCCAACAGTGAAGATTCCGGATAACAAGTACGATCTTGGCAAGTCCAGTACGTTGCACTTTTAACAACTTTTCGGCGAAAAGCGAAAACTTTTTGGCGAAAAGCGAAAACTTTTTGGCGAAAAGCGAAACTCGTTGAAAAACTTTTTTGGCGAAAGTGTGGAATCGTTTTTTTCGTTAAAAGTTGCGATTAATTTCAATTGACGGTGCAATTTGCAATTCCTGCGAACACCTTTCCGCTAACTTTGGGTGATACGTTTTACAACTGTTGCAAATCTTCACCCCTTTTGCCGTAATTGCGAGACAAAACATGACAGGATCAGTCCAATTGAGGTCCCAAAAAGGACTTCTTACGAGATATTCTAACATCTTGCACCAGGCGATCTCGAAATATTCGGATAGAATTGACACAGAAAGCTCTCCGAGGCTTCTTACAGAGATGTCCTCCGAGATAAACGCTGATTTGAAACTAGTGAGCGAAGCACTTGAAAATTTCACAAAAAGCGTCGATCAGATCAACGAGCCACAATCAGAGAAGAAAGAAAGCAAGTCGAGGAATACGTCGAAAAAGCTCACGTACTCCTGGAAAAGGCCCACACATTGGGTACTAAAATACACGCTAAAGCTGATGGGATTGGAAGCGCAGAGCGAATCATCTAGAGAGATGAAGGGCGCAAAGGTAGAGTTACCGACAATCCCGATTCCCACGTTTGGTGGAAGAATCACAGAATTTGAAAACTTCTGGGCACTTTTCAGTGCAAACGTGCACAGCCAGAGGCTTTCAAACTTGCAAAAATTCAATTACCTGTTGCGAAGCCTAAAAGGCGAAGCAAAGGAAGCAATAAGAAGATACTCCGTGACGGAGGAGAACTACAATGCAGCAGTTGAAGTACTGCATGCGAAATTTGGCGATAAATCCAAACTGATCCACGAACTTCAAGTGCGACTCGAGCGAGCTACGGCAAGCGGAACCCACATCAGCGACCAGCGAAGGTTACTGGAGTACCTACTCGCTTTGACTACTCAGCTAGAACAAAAAGGAGTCTCTTTGAATGGCTCATTCATCACGCAGAAAGTCTTGGCAAAGTTCAAGCAGAGCCTTCAAAGGAAAGTTCTTCAACAACACGTTGAAGCAGATCATCAAGAAGAGGATTGGTCCGTAAGTAGACTCCTGATCGACCTGGACAAGCTAATCAGAGCCGAAGAAAAAGTCAACGAGATGCTAACCAGCAATGAAGCCTCCCAGAACAAAACCAGACCAACCTATGGCCAGAGACAATTCGAAAAAGCACCAGGCCGGCCTATCTCATGCATCTACTGTAATGGAACAGAACACGTCTCGCAAACATGCAACAAGATTGCCTCCATAGAGGAAAGGACCCAGTTCCTAATGAAAAATAAATTCTGCCTCAACTGTGCAAAACCCAACCACCTTCTGAAAGATTGCTCAAGCAGAGGATGCAATATGTGCGAAGGCAAGAAGCATCACTCTACCATTTGCCCTAAAAGGCAAACCAAAGGAAAGTTTATGTCACAAACGAAGAGCAATACGACAGAATCTGCAAATCGTGCGAGACATACAAAACAGGATCTGAGAAAATCTAATCAAAATCAAAACCATGTAACCGAGATAGCGAAAATAACGTCAACGAATCTACAATCCACAGAGCAAGATAGCAATAAAAATACGACTTCAACCCTATACGTCTCCAATACAGAGCGACTCAAGAATACGAACCAAGTTCTACTTCTCACTGGAATGGCGAAACTCTGCGATAAAAGAAGTGGAGCAACTGAAAAAAGCAGAAACACTCTTCGATACAGGTGCCGACAGATCCTTCATCACAGAGACACTAGCTGTTGCAGATCAAAAACGTATGAAGGAGAAAAAGACACCAGTGAAGCGACGCATTGTGCCTGCTACCCCAGACAGTGAGGACGTACCCATCAGGAACGAAGAGGATACCTCGACATTAAATGTGTCCAACCATCAAACTCGATTGACTATGGAAAAATCCTCTCGTTCACCGATGTTGCGACTGTAGCGAACCATGAAACAGGACACTCCAAAGAAGTTCGAGTTCCTTCTGATGCAAAATTCATTAACGGCATACTAGCTGAAGAGCTGAAACAGCAAACAAAGAACCCAGTAGATCTATCAGTCTACACAATTGGATCAAGCAATCCGACAAAGGAATTGTTTGACTTTACATCCTTGGAACGTTCTGGATTTACAAGAGAAACCACATCAACTTCTTGATGACATATTCCAAGAACAGCTGACGAAAGGAATCATAGAAGAAATTGCGGGAAGCAAAAATAAAAATCTTACATTGGCCCGTCATCTGCCACATCAACCGGTTATAACTCCTTCAAAGCAGACGACAAAACCACCCGCAGTCATCGATTTCTACCAAAGTGTGCTATATGGAATGTTACTGAAACTTCAGATGGAAAAACTCGCTATAACTGCAGTTGTGGGGAGAGCAATCTTTCAATTGCGATTAAACGAAGACAATCGGAGTGCACCGCGAGTCGACAATAAGGTGATACCTCCAAAAAGCTACCACTCTGCGAGATATTGTTTCATAATAGTCTTATTCAAACTCAGCTCCTCATTCTTCCTCCTGGCAATCACAATCGGACGCCATGTGAACTACGAGGAAGAATAAACTTGCTTTAACGAGCAAATTCTGCGATAACCTATACTTGTATCATCTGAAACTTCTTGGCGACGTTGGAATAACTTGAACCCTAACTCCGAGAGTTCCACCACGTCAAGGAGTGCACTTGCGTACGAATTACGTCGAACAAAAGGAAGGTCAAAAGTATCGGTATGGACACGTCCGCCTTTGCTGCCTCCTACAGTTTTATTTGTGTGTTAAGTTTTATTTCATACTTCTTTCATTTCATTTCATATTTGTTGTAACGATGTTATTGATGTTGAAGAATTATTTCGCAATTATCTCTGTTGTGAATTATGCCAATTAATTTCTTCTTTCTTCAGAATCTTCTTTTCCATATTCCTCTCATTTTGTGACAATGCAAGACAGCCAACAAAGTATGCAGACACTGGATGAACCACAAGAGATGAAAGCATGCAGGACAAGCCCAGCATGGAGAGCGCCCAGTTGATGAACAAACAAACAAGCAGATCTCAAGAAGAGCGACAACGGCGCAGAAACGTGACTACCC